GTATTTGTGTGTCTAACCATATCTAAATATAGAAAAGGTACAGTAAAAATATGGTATAAAAGATTTAAATTGGTACACCTGTACAGAACACTTACCACGAATGGAGCTTATAGGACTAGAACAAGCTCTGAATGTCAATGAGTGGTGAGTGAAGATGAAGGCCTAGAATATTGCTGTACACCATTGCAGACTTTATACATACTATATTCTTAAACTACGCTAAATTTATTTTAAAAATACCTTTTTTTTCCTTCAATAATAAGTTAACCTTGGCTTACTGTAACTTTATTTTACAAACTTTCTATTTTATTTTTTAATCTTATTTTATTAAATACCATGGGACAGGATTGTAAGGATGAAAATCTCAGTCAACAACTGCCTCAAAAGGAGTAAGAAAAATTCTGCCATGATATTAGCAAAGGTAAAGGAGAAAATTTACACTGTAAGAGGCACCATTTCCCCACAGAATATCTCTTGGCATTTCCTGAATGGTTGGGATTAGCAATCTAAATAAATCATATTTCAAGAGGTAACAGCAACAGATAAAATTTAAAGGGATTAAAATAACATTTACAAGACTCTGAACAATTCTTGAACTCTCATTAAAACCACAAAGGACAATTCTTTATTTATGAATTTCATAAAGGACTGAATGTGCAACTGACATCTGCTAATGATGATCTGGTAATATACAATTTGTCCAGTAGCTGCACAGTTGGTTTTTATTGTTTTCTAACCGTAAGAGATCTTTAAAGGCAAAGCCTGTATGACGCTGTACACACACAAAAAATGGTCACTGTGGGCCATACTACCAATGAAATGGTAGGTAAACAAATCATTTTCTGGTCAAGAGAAAATAAAAGAAATAGCACTCTGCATGCTTCACTCTACAAGATGAATAAATGGCTGCAATTACAACAAGAAGTGAAGGAAGAGGACTGGTGACATTATCTCTGAAGGATGCAGCTGAGGTCGATCCAGATTTATCCAAGTGTGCTGCTACCTTTTTGAGCCTTAAGCCTTCATCTCCCAGGTGTTGATTTTCTTCTGATAGCTTCATCATTTCTCCCTGAAGTCTTTTACTCTTCCATGAGTTTCCTTGTTTCAGTATCATTGAGTGAAATACTATGTGGTTTTGGCATGGGTCCATCTTGTTTAGATGCATTCAATGGAACAGCTTTGCTAGGTTCCACATCACTCAATTTATCATTTTCACTGGGCATTTCAAAAACACATCTCAATTTAGAATCCATTAATTCATCAGGTTTTCCTCTTTCCACACAGCTTCCATATCTGAAACATTGGTGGAGCAAAAATTGTCTGTACCATAAACTTGTGTTTACTCTTCATTAGGATCATAGTCAAAAGGCTGCAGCATTACCAAAACAATCACAGTCAACCCCGGGTCAGTAATTCCACTGTTGGGCCTCACACAGTACCAACGAGGTGCTTCAGTCTTCACTTTGAAACATACTTTTTTCGCCCTGGCCGGTTTGGCTCAGTGGTTGGAGCTCGGCCTGCGGTACAGAGAGACCCGGGTTCAGTTTCCGCTAAGGGCACGTACCTCGGTTGCAGTTTGTCCCCGGCCCTGGTTGGTCGTGCGGGTGGCAGCCACTCGATGTGTCCCTTTCACATCGATGTTTCTCTCTCTCTCTTCCTCTCTCTCCCTCCTGCTCTATCTGAACAAAAAATGGAAAAATGTCAAGTGAGGATAAAAATAAAAATAAAAAAATAAAAGAAACATACTTTTCTATCCAATGGATTTCGCAACTTAAGGTCTGTAGTGACTACATCTGTGAAAGGACCTTTGAATTTGAGGTATGTGGGAGGGTGGAGGACCAGGATCTGCTCGCGCTTCGCCATGGCCCCAGAGGCGGACGCCATCAGAGAGACAGCGCAGAGCGGAGGCGCACCCCATACCCGGAGATTTGCCGGATGGGAACGATAGCGGCGCAGAGCTCTACGGCTCAGCCAAGCTCCACGACGGGCCAGTTCATGGCTCCCACACCTCAACGCCTGCGGCAAGCCGATTGCTAAGTAGTCCGCTGGGTCAGCAGCTCGGGGTCTCACAACTGACTCAACCCCACACCAGCCGCCCAGCCATCCAAACGTTCTATTTTAAAATTCTGACTTGTGTTTTTATTGTTGTTTTTTTTTTTGTGATACGTGCCCCTAGCAGGAACCGAACCCGGGACACTCTGGTCCGCAGGCCAACGCTCAACTGCCGAGCCAAAATGGCCAGGGCAAAATTCTGACTTTTGTAATAACACAGCTTAAAAACCACATACATTGTATAGCTGTACAAAAATATTTTTTCTTCACATCCTTATTCTATAACCTTCTTCTAATTAAAAATATTAAAATATTTTTTACTTTGTAAAACATTTTTGTAAAAACTAAAACACAAGCACACACATTAGGCCTATACAGAGTCAGAATCATCAATATCACTGTCTTCCAGTTCTACATCTTCTCCTGCTGGAAGGTCGTTAGGGGCAATAACACACATGGAACTGTCATATCCTATAATTATGTCTTCCTATGGAATACCTTCTGAAGGACCTGCCTGAGGCTGTTCTTGAGGAGGTGTCACTCTTTTCAGAAATATGTCCATAGTGGTTTTCTTGGTTGTTTCTTTTTTTCATCAGAGATTTGCTTGTAAGCAGATAAGGCACCATGAACATTCCTCTCTACTAATGAAAACCCTTCAGTGTTGAGGTACATGTTTTTAAAAATTTTAAGGAGCTTGTTGAGGTCTGCAAAAGCTTCTACCAAACTCTTCACTGTGAATTTTCTTGGGGGTTCTTCTTTTTCTTCTTCAGTTTCCTTTTCTCTTGCCTCTTCTTCAGCTATGCATTCCTGTTCCAGTTCCAACAACTCCACATTAGTCAATTCCTCAGGAACCACCTCAAGGACCTCCTCAATGTCATCCTCATCCACACCCAGGTTACAGCTGTCTGTCATCTCAATCATAACCTTGATTTTTTTGAAACCTCTTCATCTTTGGCAAATCTTTTGGAGTCATAGATGTCATTAGGCAATAAGAATTTTTCAGCTCCATTATAACCTATGGGACCACTGTCATATATGCAATCCATCACTGACCTAAATGTTATGTGGTGGACAACTAAATGTGTTATGTGAATATACAGTTTGAATTATTTATGGACTCTGGAGTCAGACACACCTAGGTTCAAATGTGACCTCCAGCACTTAATGGTAATGTGATCTTAGGTAAAACATTTAATTTCTTTAAGTATTACGCTCTTTAAATCTATTAATTGTAATACTGTCTATCTCTGATTATACTGAACAAAAAAAGAATATAGGCAACCACTACAAAGCCTGGCATTTAGCACATTCTGAATAAATGGCATTATTATTCATCTTTATAATCACCTATAATCTTCTCATTCAAGGAACTCAGCCCTAATAACTAGGCATTTTATTATTTTAATGAGTTTAAGTATTGTATATAAACTTGTCAATCTTTCAATTTCTAAACATTTTTCAAAAACATTTATTGCCCTGGCCGGTTTGGCTCAGCGGTTAGAGCGTCGGCCTGCGGTCCGGAGAGACCCGGGTTCGGTTCCCGCTAAGGGCATGTACCTCGGTTGCAGTTTGTCCCCGGCCCTGGTCGGTCGTGCGGGTGGCAGCCACTCGATGTGTTCCTTTCACATCGATGTTTCTCTCTCTCTCTCTGTTCTTCTCTCTCTCTCCCACTCTACCTGAACAAAAAAATGGGAAAATGTCCTCGGGTGAGGATAAAAAAAAACAAAAACAAACATTTATCAATATTGACTTCTACAGCATCCTATTTATAATACAGAAACTAGAGATTGACCTTGTTTGTTTGTTGTTTGTTTTGCCCCAGTTCAATTCTCAATCACTAACTTTGTCCAAGAAGATAGTTGGTAGAAGAGCTGGAAGTAGGGTTCAGAATTTGGAGAGACCATTAGGTGGTGAACAAACTCTTTGATTAAACAGATTACATTTGAATGCCCCATCTGCTGCTTACTAACAGCATGGAGACAATGCTGTCTGCAGACAAGGTAGCAATGTTCGTGTCTCACTTTTCTGGAGGGTAAATACAGATACCACCATCTACCTTATAGGGTTATTGCTAAGAATTAAATGACATAACAGATACTATTTAAGTCCCTCACTGCCAAGAATACCATATGTGGATGTTGAAAAAACATTTTTTCCCTTCCTCGTTTGCAAGGCCAGTGCTCTCCACTCTGACATGCTGTCTTCTCAACTATAAGATCAAAAATTAAATGCACAGGGTAGTTCTGTTTAGTCATAAGAGAATGTCATGAGTCTCTTGTAAGACACTAATGTAAAACTGAATTCATGACAGTCTTAAAATTTGACTGAATAATATAAATCGAATGCATTTATCCCTGAACTGTGTTTCCTTTTCTACAATACATTGTGAAGTAGGGGATCACATCATGGAGCACATTACATTGGTATGCATTACTGGTGATGTTAGCCTTGATTACTGGGCTAAAGTGATGACTGCCAGAATTCTCTACTGGAAAGTTACCTTTTTACATTGAAAACAAAATATTTGAGGGGAATAATAAAATGGAAACAAAAAGAGAGGGAGAATGAAGGAGAGAGAGCACGTGTAGGAGAGCGAGCATGTGCATGCATCCCCTCCCAAAGCCTGGTCTCCTCAGCAAATCTTTAACACGATAAATAAGGTAACTTGTACCACTGCATGAAAGATTCTTCTCAAAGTAATTCAGTGTTTTAAATAGTTGAAGCCAAGTCTTGTCAAAAGCCCCTTGAAAGTATAAACATGTTACTTTCTGATGTTCTCTCTTAATTTGGTTATTTATCTCTTGAAAGACTTCTAGCAGCTTAGTCAGATACAATCTCCCCTAAGAGAATCATACTGCTTTCCCCCCCAGAAACTTATATTTGCTAAAATATTTAAAACTCTTTATGACAAAGTCCATCAGCTTGTTTGTCATCACAATGAGACTCACCGATCTGCAGATACTGGAGTCCCTTCTGGATTGGAATATTCTTCCAAATCTGAAAAGTTCACTTGTGTTTGCCTTGAGGTTACTATCTGGCTATTCTGAAAAGGTATGATTTTCAAGTCCTGAGTAATAGTGTTACTATCTGGAAGAGACTGTATGACTTGAAAGTCCGGTGAAGATTTAGGTCCTAGAAAACCTAAAGATTCTTGATCATGTGCTACAGGTATACTGGTCAATAATTTGGAGGTTGGTTCCAATGATCTTGAAGATATAGTTTGTAGGTCAGAGTTAAACTCACTATTCGTCCTTGTTTTAGAAGCTGGATCCAATGAAAGAAATCTTTTATCTATGGTTCCACTATCCAACTTGGAGGGAGTCTTGGGAGAAAGAGTTATACGAACACAAGAAAGTGCTTTTCTATTTGAAGGTGGAGTAGATGGAGATGTTACTAATGTATATTGATTTGGGGCTGATTGGGAGACATTATTGAATTTAGTTTCAACATTTATATTAGAAATGTGGGATTTAGGCTTATGTTGATCATTGTTTTCTACTACATAATCCTGACCCTGAGGAAGGGGGGAATATTGTTTTCTCATGTGGTAATCTACATCGGGGGCTTTGCTTTGTTCAAAAAGCTGACGTTGCTCAAGAAAAATGGAAGAAGGAAGGTCTGAAGCTATATAATCCTGACCTTGAGGAAGAGGAGAGTGGTTTTCTCTCATCTGATGATCTACATGTGGGGTTTTGCTTTGTTCAAAGAGTTCTCGTTTTTCAAGAAAAATGTGACAAGGAAGATTTGGAGCTACATGATGCTGATGTTGAGGAGGGGGAGAATGATGTATTCTTACATAGTGATCTGCATGTGGGACTTTGCTTTGTTCAAAAAATATGGGCGGAGGATTTGGAGTTACAATTACATTTGTCTCTTTTACTCCTAGTGTGGAACTTGTTCTGCCCATGTTAATGAGGGTATGGTCATCAGAAAAATGAACTTCCTTGAATTTGCTACAATTTGTACTGGTACTGGGCTCAGAATTACGGCTTTTAAAATCTGATCTTTCTAAGATTTTATCTTCTTGGTGAGAATGTTCAACAGATAATTTATGGCCTTGCCTAGTACTTTCTGCTAAAATAGTCACAGCTTTATCTGGTGAATGACTAATGATTTTAAATGATGAAGGGGAACAGGTTTCCTGTTTTAGATCTCTAGGAGGACTTTGCTCTTCAGTGAAATGAGAATTAAATACCCCTACAGATGCTCCAGTACACTGGCTATCTTCAGTAACACCAACCTTAAAAACAGAGGAATCTGAAAAGCATTTAGAATGTCGGTGAGATGAAAAAGTGATGGAGGTAGTAAACTTTTTCATGGATTCTGGGGACATCATTTGTGATGAAGAATTACAATCCATTTCTTCAGGCGGCACACAAGTAGGTTCTACTAATTCTGACAGCCAAGGGTCCATATTTTCACGAAATGGCATTCGCAAACCCTTGCTAATTTTGAAGTCATCAGCTGTAAAGTTTTGAAATGGGGAATGACCTTGTAATTGCAAGGAATTCCAAACTTTGAAATGGGTGTTGCTCTGATCTAGTGATTTGGAAAGGTTGATGTGCCTGGTTCTCCATGATGATGGGCTCCGTTGTCCTCTGATAATTTCTAAGGGTTCAGCTGATCTGAAGACACAGGAATGGCTGTCCAACTGTGGTTGTTTAGCAGTTAGAGTCTTGAAACATCCTTTTTCATGGCTCTCAATAATAATATGACTACAGACAGCATCTGGCTTGCATCCTATTCCCCGTGAACTCTGTAACCCCTAGAAAATATAAACAAGATCTTACTTAAAGTAGTCCAAATAGTTATACAAAAACCACTTTGTTGATGTTTTATAATATAACAGATAAGAACATAAGAATAAGACGGTTAACTATAGAATAAAATAATAACTATTAATAATAACTAATAAATATTAGTCCATAATAACTAAGATCATGCAGTTAATTGCTTCTAAAAATTTTCACTGAAGTAACAAAAGCAAAGACTACTTTTGTCCTCTAGTATTCTCACCTTTTTCGTTTAGTAACAGCAGTCTCATACCCTAATATTATCTGATCACATGGCCACCGAGCTGTAGACATTTCTAGTTTCTTTTTAAGCTAGGTGTGACCATATGACTACGTTTAGGCCAATGGAATATGAGCAAAAGCAGTTAAGTACAAATTCTGTATCCTACCCTTAAAAAATCAAATTCCTGACCTCCACGTTCCACCTACTACCGCCATCATTATTATCATTGTTACTACTGTCAACTGAAATAGATGATATCTAGAACAACCATGAAAGCCATGTAAAAGGAATGGCTCAGCTACCTACCCAGCTTGGGTCCTTGGATAACCTCAAGAAGCTTGCTCTTGTTACTACTCTGGACTATCACATAAAAGAAAAAGAAAATTCTACCTTATTTCAGCCATTGTTATTTTGGGGTTTCTTTGTTACAGAAGCTTAGCCTATACCCTAGTATTTTACCACTTAGAAAAGGCAAAAGAACTAATAGCTCTTCCTGGTTAAGATCAATGGCTACCAGAAATATAAATTTTCTTTGAAATTTATGTGTTTTACCTATAAAGTCATAATCTGGTCTTTTACTTGATGATATACTCACATTTGATTTCATATATAAATATTTTAAAATATGCTGCTACTTCCAACATAGTGGAATAGATGTATGTTTCCATATTCTACCTGCTAAGTCCAACTAAAAATCCTGGACATTATACACAAAACAAACTCAAGAAGAATCTGAAAAATGTAGATAAGAAAGCAGACTGGCTAGGGACAATAGGACCTGAGGAATGACATGGTAATGAGATCCCTGGGTTTTCTTTTTATCTCATATATCCCAGATTCAGATCTGAAAAAGCCAGCAACCCAAGAACAAAGGGAACAGACAAAAGCTCTAACAAAAACCTACTCTCATTAGCTAAAAATACCAGTAAAGATGAAGTGTAGCAAGTCAGAAAACTTTGCCCTGGCCAGGTGGCTCAGTTGGTTGAATGTCCCATACACCAAAAGGTTGTGGGTTCGATTCCCAGTCAGGGCACAAACCTAGGTTGTGGGTGCGATCCCTGGTCAGGGTACATACAGGAAAGAACCAATCAATGTTTCTCTCTCTCTTCCCCCTTCCTCTCTCTCTCTCAAATTAATTTAAAAAATATCCTTGGGTAAGAATGAAAAAAAAAACAACAAAAGACAGAAAACTTTTAGACAAAAACACCTATTTCAGCCAAACACCACAGGAAAAAAATGTGGCAAAAGCCTAAGTGAGCACAGACTTCTACCCTTGCAAAACTATAATGAAGCACCATCAAGCCAACATGGTTATAGAAATGGCCAAGTAGGAGCCCAGGACTCATTTTTATCCTTGCTGGCTGATAATAAGCTACCTCTCCCTGTGGTGTCACAGGAGATCACACAGGAAGACTGAACTTTCATTCTCACTCAGCAGTAATGAGGTGTCTCTCTCTCTCCCAGCTACCAACTGGAAGAAAATATTTGCAAATCTCATATCCAATAAAAGACTTGTAGCTGCCCAGCTGATGTGCTCAGTGGTTCAGCATCGACCCATGCATCAAGAGGTCTCCAGTTCGATTCCCAATCAGGGCATATGCCCAGGTTGTGGGCCAGATCCCTGGTTGGGGACACGTAGGAGGCGGCCAATCGATATTCTCTCTCATCAATGTTCCTATCTCTCTCCCTCTCCCTTCCTCTCTCTAAAATCAATAAAGAAAAAAAAAAGACTTATAGCTAACATATACGAAGAACTCTCAAAACTAAACAGTTAAAAAAACACACAATTCAATCAGAAAAATGGGCAAAAACCCCACGTACATTTCTCTAATAATGATAGGGATGGGAAATGACAGCATGAAAAAAGATGTTCAACATCATTAATCATTAAGAAAATACAAATTAAAACCACAATATCACTACAAAGCTATCAAAATGGCTAAAATAAAAAGTAGTGAAAATACGAAATGCAGGAGAGGCTATGGAGTAATGGCCTTACACATTACTGGTGGGGATGTAAAATGGTACAACCACCCTAGAAAATGCTGTGGCAGTTTCTAAAAAACTAAACATACAACTACCATATGACCCAACAATAGCACTTCCGGGCATTTATCCCACAAAAACAAAGACTTACAAATTCACTAAAAAATCTGCACGTGTTTACAGCAGCTTTCTTTGTATTAACTCCAAACTGGAAAACAACCAAGATGTCATTCATTAGGTACAAAGTTAAGCAAACTGTTACATCTATACCATGGAACACTACACAGTATTAATAAGGAACAGACTACTGATATATTCAACAACCTAAATGTTCTCCACCGAATTCTGCTCAGTGAAAAATGCCAATACTCAAAGATCACATATTATATGATTTCATGTATATGACATTTTTGAAACAACACAATTATAAAAATAGGGACAAGATTAATAATCACCAGAGGTTAAGAAAAGTAGGAGCAAGAGGGAAGTGGATGTAGTTACTAGAGGGCAACATAAAGGACACTTGAATGTAAATAACATTGAATATAAGCTGTAATTGAAAGATACAATTTTAAAACATTTTAAAAATGCCATTTTAATTTCATGGGTTCCTAGTACCCTGACATAGCCTGATTTATTACTGAGAGATAAATACTCCAATTTGAGAAACAATCTGACCATTTTCAACCTAGAGGAGGTGCCCTTGGGGCCAGAGTCTATCGAATTCTTCGTAAACAGTGCCCTCTCTGCCTCCACCCACCAAAAATAGTTATAGGGCCAAGTTGTTATAATTCACAGAAATGTCAGATACTACAACAGGCATTAGGCCACATTAATGCTATAGCTACCACATGAAAACAAATCTTCCTGAAGCCCAAATCTTCTGTCAATAAAAGTGAATGGGTCCCACTGCCCCCTCAGCCAGGAATCCAACAGACAGGTCCTAGAGGATATGGGGACTTCCAGACTATTTGTTGGTCTCTACCAAGGGATAGTACCTCAACCTAACTCCTTCCCTCAAGAAAGTACCAACAGGCTTCCCTCTGTCAGCACCTCCTTAGTTTAGGGGTCCCGAATGATTTAATCTCAGGTCAGAGTGACACAAGTTAGAAGTCTTAGCTCAAGCACTGTAGGCTTTTTTTCTTTAATATACATGTATTTTTTATTGTTGAAAGTATTATACATGTCCCCTTATTTTCCCCATTGACTCCCTCCTTCTTGCTCCCACCCCCCTCCTGCTTTCCCAACCTAATGTCCGTGTCCATTGGTTGTGCATATATGCATATAAATTCTTTGGTTTATCTCTTCCCATCCCTCCCCCTACCCTGTCTCTGAGGTTTGTTAGTCCGTTCCCTACTTCCATGACTCTGGATCTCTTTTGGTCAACAGCTTATCTTGTTCATTATGTTCCATAAATGAGATCATATGGTACTTGTCTTTCTCTGACTGTCTTATTTTGCTAAGCATAATACTGGTGGGAATGCAAGCTGGTGCAGCCACTATGAAAAACACTATGGTGTTTCCTCAAAAAATTAAAAATGGAACTGCCATTTGACCCAGTGATCCCACTTCTTGGAATATATCCTAAGAAGCCTGAAACACCAGTTAGGAAGAATATATGCATCCCTATGTTCATTGCAGGCTCTTAAAGAGACCGCTGAGTCTACTCTGAGCAAATGCCATTCACCTCCTGAAACACCCCAGCCCTGGCAACATGAGCCAAGATCCAATACCCTGACTTCTGAGTGTGACATCCAACCAAGCCCCTGCCCTAGGGGCCAATCAGTTCCCTATACCTTGTCCCTCATCCGGGAGACAATTGTTCATACAATTCTTTAATAATCCACTGGGACACATGTAACAACATTTTCCAGCTCTCATTGTCATTGGAGCCCAAATTAGTGTTTACCAGGAAAACCTCCAAACACAAATGAGGAGCACCTTTTGAATTACAAGCATAACAGGTAGGATAGCAGAAAGTGTTCAACTTCTATTGATGTCACTAATGGCACAACATTTACTAAAAACCTTTTAGTGGTGGCCACTTTGGTTCCCTCCTTTCCTGCCTTGACATGCCACCATGCCACTTGGAACATACCCAAATTCCTGGACTTCCTGGTGGTAGCTGCACATTGGAAGCTTGTAAGACTACCACTACTGATTAAGATGACAAATACCACCAAATAACATTTACAACAGGGGGCTGAGGGACTGTGGCCTATAATTCAAGACTTATTAAAGGAAGGAGTCATTAAACACACCATTTCTACTAATGAGTGGAGACTTACAGTCGACTACCAGAATTTAAATTTAGTTCCCATTAAAGTTCTCATTCTCTAGATTATCTAGTTCACTGAAGACATCCAAAGGGCTCCAAAAGACTACTTTGGCATAACTGATCTAGCCATTATGTTCTGTTCAGTATTGATAGCCAAGGAGTCACAGCTGCAGTTTGCTTTCACATTCGAAAACATCCAGTATATCTTTACCCAACTCCCTATGGGCTATCTTAACAACCCTGCCAGTGCCCACAATCTCTGTCAGCAAAACCTGGATGCCCTTACAGTTGTACCATATATTAATGACATTCTAATCTGGGGCCCCTCAGAGGATGAAAGGCCCCAACACAGCTGGTGACCCACCTACAACCAGAGGTAGGGCTACTGCCCCCTATAAAATCGAAGGACCAGGCACAACTGGTAAATGCCTGGGCATTAATTGGTCCTGTAAAGGCCAGTAAATTCCACTTAACATAAATTGCTA